GATGGCACGTCACGTGATCCCAGGCCCCGCCTTGGATCAGCGACCTTCCATCGCGGCTATCCCGATGGTCTTCCTTCCTGCGGCCTGCATAACAAAAGGAAGCAACTCCTTGTTACCTTGTAACATGAGTAAAAGACTGGATCAAGAACAGCCATGCTGTACTTATTGCAAACCTTAATTACAGTACATAACAGCCGATTCTTCGCCACTACACCCCCATGTAGAGGAGAGACTCCACAAAGAGCAAGGGATTTCACTGGCCACTATAATTCAACTTGCCTGTCCTTTTAAGGCTTTACAAGCAGTCTAGCATGACTAACCTCATCCCACCAGGTCTCCACATCATCCAAATTCTTTGCCGCATACTCAGATTTGAAACCTCCTTTGACAATCGCCTCCAGTATGCGCGGTGTCTGGGCATGCAACTCAGGAAACGACCAAGCACCCGGCGCACAACCCAACAACGCTACATTCGCCTGCCGAAGGAGACTGGCAGGAACAGCCTGTGTCTCGCCCGCCAAAGACCCAATTTCCACCCAGCTGAGCCTCTGGTTAGGAAGCTCGCGTCCCTTGATGATGCCAGCCATGGCTGCATTCGACACATCGCCCCACAAGTAATCCAAGACAACATCGACGTCTGTAGCACCAGAGAAATCTGTTTGCGCCAAATCCTCGGATAGTGATATCGTTGCCGTCGCTCCAAGCTCTTTTGTCTTGTCCAGCTTTGTACCCGGCTTGCCAATTGCTACGATTTTCGAGGCACCAAACGCTTTACTGATCTGTACAGCAGCTTGTCCACTTACGCCTGTTGCGCCTATGATAGCTATCTTGACCCCACTGCCAGGTTGAATACCTGCACGCGCCGTGAGCGCCATCCAACCGCTCATCGCTGGATTTACAAGCACAGCCACAGTATCTGCATCCGCGCCTTCGGGCAGTGGGAAAATGTCTTTCTTGCCGACATTGATTTCCTGAGCTATGGAGCCGGTGGATGCGAGCAAGGCGTTGAAGTAGACAAGCTGGTTGGTCTCAACGACGATGCCCACACCATCCGTGCCGGGAACATGTGGTGGGCTCTTGCCAGCCATGGAGAAATGTTTGCCTGAAGCGCGGGCACGCACGAAAGTGTGGACACCGGCAGCGAGGACTTTGATGCGGACTTGGGTGTCCGACGGGGCGGGGAGGTCGATGAGGGAGTAGGTAGGGGGTGATCCCCACTTGTGGACTACGGCTGCGTGGATAGACATACTGTGTATCGAGATCGGTAAAAAGGTTGACAGATGATGAGTCTTTCACCCAGGAACCTTCACTTGGTGTATTGAGTGATGTCAATGTCGGATGCCGATACCTTGTCGCACCAGAAAAGATCTTGAGGATAGGTCAAGAAGAATCCAAGAATGATGTAGATGACTGGAATGGAGTGAATTGATTCGGGATTGGGTGCCAGATACTCGAGCTTTTATACACTATGGCGCATACACTAAAGCGCGAAACGATTACACATGAAGGATCTAGCGAATGCGAATTCATGCAGAAAATGAACACTAGACACCTGATAGCGAAGGCAAAATCCCTAGCCTGTGGCGTGCTTGTAATCTGCCTGCAGATACCTACCAGTCAACACTCGGACTCTAATATGCAGCTGACAACATCTGCCTGTCGTCAGCAATCAGGCCCCCCAATAACAACCGTACTTGATGACCTAATCAATTCTAGGCCCTCCTTCACTTGAATCCTTCAAAAGATAATAACCCCCTCCTCCACTTAGCATATGTGAGCAATATGTTGCATCGAAAATGTAACAACCCCAGGCCCTTTTCCACAGAAGCCTCGGTACTGGCACGGTGACTGCCAAAAGGACGTTGCAAGCAATGACAATAAGCGGTGGCAATGCACAGCAAGCGGCTACAATCCGACTACGAACGTCAAACGGCATCAACATAGTTTTCTATGAATGTCATGCTGCATGTAAGAATCGTTTGTCTAGACGCAAATCTTCATTTCACAGATGACATTACAAAATTTAGAACCTATCGCATACGGTCTGGGCAAGCATATGGGTAGTCGTACACGCCAATCTACCCCAAACCCCTCACCAGGCACTGCGATCGTGAGCAAGCTTCTCTAGACAACAGGAAGCCTTCAGCTATCAACTCGATTGTCGAATATTCTCCTCATGCGCAGTCATGATGTTGTTCTTCTTCTCCGAGATTGAGGCCACGCTTGATGCCCTTGCAGTCGTCTCCTGAGATGAAGATGCTGTATCATCGCCATCAAATATGACTGCCATGTGCTCCAGAGTGTACCCACGGGTTTCTGGGTAGAAGAAGTACACTGTCAATCCCATTGCGACAAGCACGACGATGAACACAAAGTAGTACTTCCAGCCGATTGCTTCGAGGGCGATAGGGTTTACAAAGGTATTGAAGAAGTTGGCGACTACTACCGTAATCCAGGTAACGGTCAGACCGTGAGATCGGAGCCTATATGGCCAGATCTCGCAGGGATAGGCTGTCAGGAAAGGCGTCCTATGTCATGCCAGTCAGCACGGTGGTCTGCTAAAAGGGATTGTAGTGAGACTTACAGAGCAATATCATAGCCAGCAAAAAAGATGAATAGAAAGGGTATGACAGCGATACCAGTGGGAGGGCTGCCAGATTCTGCGAATGCACCGCTGAGAGCTGTCACAAGTATGTATGCGACAAGCATAACGCCAGCTGAGGCTAAGAAGAGTGGGCGACGTCCAAGTCGGTCGACACTAAGTGCAGCACCTACTGAGAAGAGAAGGTTCCACACTTGCAGCAGACCAGCAATCAAGGTCTGGTGGGTGACACTCGTTATGCCCACAGTTCTCAGGACAATCGCCAGATAATACGAAACAACGCCGTTGCCGCACCACTGGGAGAAAATTCCGAGAGAGACCGATATAAACAGGCGGCGCCGGTTGCCTGCTGTCTTGAACAGCTCTGCGTAGCTTGCATCGTCCAGTGTTGACTCGAGACGGATGGCAGTGGTGATTTCGACCATCTCATACTCGACTAAAGCCGATGTGGGATTGCCGCCAGCATGGTATGTCGTCAAAATTGTACGAGCCTATAATCCATCATTAGATCAATCTAATCATGTCATCTAGTGACTTACCTGTTCACTTCTATCAACAGACACAAGCCAGCGAGGGCTCTCAGGCGTCATCAGTAACCCAGGCAGTGCGACCAGGGGCAGCAGCAACTGCAAGATAGATGGAATCCGCCACGCCCAGTCACTTTCGATATTACGGGTGCCAAAGGTAACGAAGGCAGCAATAGTGCCGCCGAAATAATACCCGCACATGAAGAGAGCGCTCAGGATGCCTCTGTAGACCGGATGAGAGATCTCGTTGATGAGGAGAGGAACAGCGTTTCCAAACCAAGCTGAAGAGCAACCAACAAAGAATCGAGATAGCACGAATGCAGTGTGGTCATCGCTTAGTACGACCAGGGAGCCTAAGAACAGAAAGATGTAGCCGATGTATACACCGAGCTTGCGCCCGTACTTGTTCGCAACGAACGCAGTCAAGGGGTAGGACAGGCCCATCCCAAGCCAGTAGACGGCATTCAAGAAGCCTAACCAAGCACCGGTCGGCGTGTCCATGAACGACTCCCATTGAGGTAGTGCCTGTAGTCCATTCATGAGACTTCCGTCATAGCCGTTGGCAGAGGCTGGACATGTGTTAGTGGCATCAAAGGACAAGGGACCTTGGAGATACTTACAGAACAACGAGAGAGACAAGATGCAGAAGTGCAACTTGATGAGATGTGATTTTGTGTACCATGGCTTGCTGTCAGGCAAGACAGCCAACAAGCCATCGTTGAGTCCATTCTGCGACTTGGAGGGAGGCATGACAACGCAAAAGGGGCTAGTGATGCTCTGGGGGCTAGAGAACGTGATGCTGGTCGGTCAATCGTTCACGCAGCTTGACCTTTTATATAAATCTCAGATGAACAAGGCCAAGTCAAGAACATCACGATACAGCGTGTCGGTTAGCTATCGTGACCTCTAAGCTATTGCCGGAAGCGTGGCTGCGCACGTGGAGTCCCCCCAAAATTTGGAAACACGCTAATTTGCGGAGGTACTCGATTTTTGCGGAGTAGCGCATCGGTGAAAAATAGAGTTCCTCATAGCGCGTGCTTTCCGACTGGACTGACACGGAGAAATAGGAATCGTCATTTGCCCGATAGCCTCCGCGCGCCAAGCGCGACCTCCGACCAACCCGCTGCTGCTAAAGCGGACATCAGGGCTATACCCCATAAGCCGCGCCAGATATGCGCCAACGTCTATGTGTTTGGTCGGACTATGTCGTGGCTGTTGAAAGACATCTATATACCGCGGCCTTGTCGTGGTTGCGGGTGTCAGCCAGTTCACCCCTTCCAATTATCGAACCTCCAGCGCCATGACGCTTTCTAATGACGAGAACACAAGTCAAGAGCATGCGGCTTCGTTCGCGCCGTTTGACGTCGAAGAAGCGCTCCTGCAGCTGACGATTGACGAAAAGGTGTCGCTTCTCTCAGGTAGGTCGTCTGCGAAACTTCAAGTGCGTCGCTCATAACAACAGGCAAGGATTTCTGGCACACGCGCGACATACCCAGGCTGTCGATTCCTTCCATACGACTATCAGATGGTCCCAACGGCATTCGAGGTACTAAATTTTTTGGCAGCGTACCTTCTGCATGCCTTCCATGTGGCACAGCCATCGGCGCTACGTTCGACTCCGATCTGGTCGTCGAGATTGGCCATCTACTCGGCGATGAGGCTCGAGCAAAAGGAGCACATGTCGTTCTCGGCCCAACGATAAACATTCAGCGAGGACCGTTGGGCGGTAGAGGATTCGAGTCTTACTCCGAGGATCCTTACCTATCCGGCAAGCTTGCAGCAAGCTACATCAATGGGCTCAAGGATAAACATATAGGCGCTGCTATCAAGCATCTTGTTTGTAACGATCAGGAACATGAACGTATGGCAGTCAATACCATCGTTACTCAACGCGCGCTGAGAGAAATCTATCTCCTGCCGTTCATGCTCGCGACGCGGCTCAGCAACCCGGAAGCGATCATGACTGCCTACAACAGAGTCAACGGCGTACACGTCGCGGAAGACCGAAGCATTCTAAAAGACATACTCAGGAAAGAATGGCGGTGGGACGGACTCTTCGTGAGCGATTGGTAAGACTGCCTTATCTCTTCCGTACACTCGTTGCGCGGTTCTGACAGCTCTCAGGTTTGGCACATACAGCACAAGCGAAGCAATAAACGCCGGTCTTGACCTAGAGATGCCCGGCCCATCACGATGGCGAGGACCGGCGCTCGTCCACGCGGTCTCGGCCAACAAGGTCCTTCCTTCTAAGCTCGACGAGCGAGTGCGTGCGGTCCTCAAGCTCGTCAAAAAGTCTGCACAGTCGGGTATCCCAGAGAATGCACCAGAGATCCAGTTGAATCGACCAGCAGATCGAAGTCTTCTTCGGAAGGTAGCCGCAGACTCAATCGTGCTCCTTAAGAATCAGGATAACATCCTTCCATTCTCCTGCGATCGCAAGATTGCGGTCATCGGCCCCAACGCCAAGATCGCTACCTATTGCGGCGGCGGTAGCGCATCACTGAATGCATACTACACAACTACACCATTAGACGGTATTCGATCGCTCGCGAAGGGCGGTGTGGATTTTGCACAAGGCGCATATGCTTTTCAGATGTTGCCTGAACTTGGCAAAGAGCTCACCGTGGACGGGAAACCCGGTTTCAAGCTGCGCTTCTTCAATGATCCGCCGACAAACGTGGAGAGGACCCCACTTGAGGAACGGATATTGACCGACTCCAACATCTTCTTCCTCGACTATGATCATCCGAATCTCAAAGAGATTTGGTACGCTGAGACTGAAGGTGTCTTTGCTCCAACTCAATCGGGCACCTATGACTTCGGTCTGTGCGTGCATGGCACTGGAAGACTTTACATTGATGACGAGCTTCTCGTCAGCAATGTCGAGCACCAGAGGCCTGGACCTAGCTTCTTAGGTTCTGGAACTCTTGAAGAGACTGGATCAAAGGTTCTCATTGCGGGCAGAGCGTATCGAATTACCGTGCAATGGGGCTGCGCAAAGACAAGCACGAGGAAGACACCTGGCACGGTGGACTTTGGTCATGGCGGTTTGCGTTTCGGTGGTTGTTTACGCCAGGACCCACAGGAGCTGATCGATACTGCGGTACGCCTTGCGTGCGAGGTCGATCAAGTGGTCATTTGTGTCGGTCTGGGTCCTGAATGGGAATCTGAGGGCGATGATCGCGTATCAATGGATCTTCCGCCGAATACAGATACGCTCGTGGAACGAGTCCTCGAAGCCAACTCGAATGCGGCTATCGTGGTTCAGTCCGGTACACCTGTTGCGATGCCCTGGAGCGATAAAGCAAAGGCAATTTTACATGCGTGGTATGGTGGGAATGAAGGCGGCAACGGGATTGCGGACGTCCTCTTCGGCGCTGTGAACCCCTCGGGAAAACTTCCTCTGACTTTCCCCCACCGATTGAAGGACAACCCGACGTATCTCAACTATCGCTCCGAGGGTGGCCGCGTGCTGTATGGCGAGGATGTTTACGTGGGCTACCGTTTCTACGAGCAGACCGAAGTGGCACCATTGTTCCCATTTGGCCACGGCCTGTCCTACACGACCTTCGCCCTGTCCAATCTCAAGCTTGACATGAACACGCAGACTGACCGGCTAAGCGTGCGCTGCACTGTGAGCAACACGGGCTCCAGAGCTGGCGCTGAAGTCGTGCAGGTTTACATTGAGCCGATCTCACCACCTATTCGTCGGCCGTTGAAGGAATTGAAGGGCTTTGCGAAGCGCCACATTGAAGCAGGCCAGAGCGCCGAAGTGATTGTCGAGATCGACGTCCTTCGGGACACAAGCTTCTGGGAGGAGAAGGAAGGAAGGTGGTGTAGTCATGCTGGGATGTACAACGTCCTTGTTGGGACGAGTAGCGCTGGCTGTCATCTATCGGGCTCGATCGTGTCGCCGAAAGCTAGGTACTGGCTATCGTAAATCAATGTAAAAGATTGTCGTGCAAATAATGTCATTGCTGCTCTCGTTGGTGCTGTTCCATTCTTCGACGTGATTAACAGTAACCCAGGTATCGTCGCAACCGAGAGCGATCACTGGCATTTCTGAACGAGAAAAGCGTTCCTTTGTTGATTCTCTCTGTAACCCCCTATCGGCTTATGGTGTCAACGACATGACGCAAATTCGAGATGCAGCATTCCGGCCATGAACAAAGACCTAAGTGCCGAGGACACGTCTGGCGCTTGTTTGGGGCCTTGGCGAACGCGCCCCAGCCCAGCGCGATCCGCATCATCAAACGCACTTGGTTCTCATGTCTTCACCGCTCAACAGTACGGTTAATCCGCAAACCACACGACCACCGCGCGCGTGCGATGCATGTCGGACCAGGAAAACGCGTTGTGACCTGGGTGTAGACGTGAACGTACCAGATTCAGCATGCGTGCGCTGCCGGCGTCTTCAGCTGCAATGCACTTTCGAACTGGCGGTCGGTAGGAGGGGTCCAAAACGGTAGGTTGACATTCGATCAAGTTCTCAGACATGGCTGCTCTGCGGTGGAGTCATTCTGGTTTCCATACACTTTTGCACGGTTGCCGAAGACTTGTCAATCGCAACCGTTCACTGCCTCTTTGAGGCTTTGAGAGCCTTGAGTAAGGTGGACTGAGAAGCTTACATCACAGCTAACAGTCACGTTATAGAAAGCGGATGCAAAATGATATTGCCAGGAGCGAGCATTCTGTCGCACCTGCTCCGAGTCCCACTTCGTTCGTCACTGTCCAGCAAGGCGCATTTCGCACTGACACTGTTTGTTCGCGAGCGCTTTTACGAGTTATGGTGGGCGACTATCTTCTGTACATCTACCCGTTAATCCCTGTGGTTCACCGACCATCGTTCTGCCTCGCTCTGAACGAGGATCGTGATAACTACGACGACGACTTCTTAGGCCTTCTCATCGCTCTATGCGCAATCGTAGTTGCGTTGCTTCCAAGTAAATACGAGAGCTACCGTAGGCTCGACTTGTCCATGGCTCTCTCACGTGCCGTGATGCTCGACCGCTGTCACGGCTTCCTGATCGCTTTGCGTACGCCCGACTTTTTCGAGAAAATCGGCTTTAGCAAATGGGCAGCATCGTATCTGATGGCGATCGCCTTTTTCCAAGTCGGAAAGCCTAATCACGCTCGTATGATCGAGGTGGAGAGCATGCAGCTCGGGCGACTACTTGAACTTCACCGCGTTGATAGATATGAGGAACTGGACTGTATTGAGAAACAGCTGCGGAGAAAGGGCTTTTGGCTTCTTTTCTACGGTTACGTACATTCAGAGGTACAGAATTTTCGTAAAGAGAAGCTCTCTTTCTTGGATCATGCTACCATGGCGACGACGAACCTCAAGGCACTCATGCCTGTCGAAGTCGAAGACGAGCATATCTTCAAGCATGAGACGATCTCTTCGCCTACATCGGAGGTGAGCATGACTACAGGCTTCATCATCCACTCTCGCCTGTTTTGGCAAGCTATTGAGAATCCATACGGCAATGAAAGGGGCGAATGCTTGTGCTGTCGCGATCACTCACCTGCAGCGCAAGTGGCGCATCTTGAACGCCGCTTGCAAGATCTGAAATATGCCTTGGACGATGCTCCTAGGCCCTTTCGACAATACGCATTGTCCGATTTCGACTCCGCTTCACATAGCCTTTCATCCTCTCAACTGGGCACGCTGCGCGCTAATATTCATGTTACACACCTCTGGCTTCAAAGCATGTTACTGGATCAGTTGGATCTACTGACTTCGCCTGAGCAGCACTGGCACGAGCGCGAGGACATATCCACTCAGCTCCTCCACGTACTGCACAATACTCCTCAAGCAGATATCGAGCCAAATGGTCTCCACCTTGTCTACAAGGTGCGCGATGTGGCAGTCGGACTACTCGCGTGCCCGTACGAACCACCCGATCCTTCGGCAAAACGAGCCCAGGAGTATGTCAAGGCGTTTACTGACATCATGGCTCGCCTAGATGCAAGCGAGACAATTAACACAGCTAATCTTCAAAGTTGGATTGATACTGGACGTCAGAGTGTTTGAGCAATAATCGATAAAAACACTACTCTCGAATGAGAAGTTTCGTGAGATCCAAAACGACTGCTCTCTTTCCTCTAAACTCTAACACGAGTCAAGGTTCTCCATGACCGCTGGTAGTGGTAGCATAGTTGTGATGCGAACTAGCACAGTCCAAGACGAGGAGTTTATATCAAGATAAAGCACAACGTCACTAGGACTACAGACCTAGAAAGCCTAACCGAGTGCGACTTACCTAGCGTCGAATCGAGAAAGAATTGCCAAAGAGGAGCAGTTTTAGTAAATAAATGTTACCATTAAAATATGTCTTGATAAAATATCCCCTTTTAACCTCCGTTTCCTCGGAAAAATCCCTATTCGCGTACCTACTGTGATGATACGTCCCGTAGTAAAACGCCCAAACAAAGCCGCCATGCATAAAACCGCCATGGTATCTCTCGCGGTAACAACACATGATAACAGCTCCATCCATGATACGCCAAAAGCCGAATGCATAGAGATGTGTTCTGAAAGAAAGAACACATCCACTACCCCACAACATCAATATCACCATCAGCATCTAACTCTCCATCCTCTTCTTCACCTTCAGCATCATCCTCATCACCTTCCGCATCTTCCTCCCCCTCTCCCCCACCACCACCAGCACCACGCAGCGGTCCCGGCAACGACCCCCTAACCCCCTCCCACTCCCTCGCCGCCCTCTCAGCCTCCCCTCCCATCCCATTCCTCGCATAAACCCCCACCGCAATCCCACTCGCAACACCCATCCAAACCCCCCTCCTAACCTTCCCCGCCTGACTCCTCGCCGCCCTAATCGCCTGAATACTCTTCTCCCCAACGGTATCAGCAAAGAAGCGCGCGACGAAATAACACATCATCATAGCCACAAACTCAAAGTTGAGTGTCCTCTTGCTGATTTCCTGGGCTAGGCCGACAGCAGCTTGTACCGTCTTCTTTTGCTGGAGGATGGAAGTTGTGGATTCGGCGTGGAAGGCGGCGATGAGGCGGAAGGCGATGCGGAGGTATTGGTTGGGGTGATCTTCGGCGTAGGGTTTGACTTGGGCTAGCAGGGATTGCGCTTGAGTGTGCTGGGGGTGGGATGGGTCGCGGAGGATAAGGAGTTGGTTTAGTGCTGCAGTCACCGCGAAATCTATCTTCGCGGGCGTTGCGTGCGCCTTTTCGGGTATGCCAAGGATCGGGGAGGAGTAAGACGAGAGGGAGACGTGGAGGGGGCCATTAAGTTGGTCGGTTATGGCGGAGAAGTAGGTGAGTGTGCGGACGAAGGCTTCTTGGTTGTTGTAAGGAGTTGCACTAATCTTCTTCTTGAGGAAAGAGAGGGCGTCGGAGGCGGTCTGGGGTTCGTTGCGATTGTGGGCCATGAGACCAATGGCGAACATGGTGTACCAGTCTAGTATCATGTTCCACTCTATGCGTGCAAAAGCGATGGAGATGGGTATGCCGTTGAAGGTGCGTCGCTTTGTCGTTTCGCGGAACCGCTGGTGTGCTTCTTTCATGAAATTGAGCCCCTTTTCGTGGACGTGTTGATCCAGAGCGCAGATATGAAAACACAACGCTTGCAAATCCTCTTTTGGGAGCCATGCAAAGACCAATTCGTCTTTTTGCTCTGCATTCTTTCGGAAGACCCCAGCAGTGTCAAACGTGAGGTTGCCCCCAAAGCTTCGCTCAATCAGAACAGTAAAGACGCTGCTGTGTGAGCTTTTCTGATCGTTGTTGTCGCGTAGTATAGACTCGAGAAGGGCAGTAGATTTTTGCGGGTTTGGGCTCCCTTTTTGGATACCGCTGGCAATGTCGATTATATCAATGAGAGTGCCGAACGATCCCAGTTGCTTGGCTGATACCTCGAGTTGCAGGCTACGCGCTGCTGCAATGGCGCGCTGGACATTGTCTATCCGATCTGCTGCACCTGACCGCAGATGAATCATGGCTTCGAGCACGTGACAAGCGACATATATGGCGCGGTCGCCTCGTCGACCTGCGTGGTCCTGTATAGCATGGAGTTGCTGGAGAGCCAGTGTCACCTCTACACGACCCGGTATTTGCAACGCCAGCGTAACTTTGAGAAAGCGCAGTGCATACACCCAAGCGATGTGTTGAAAGGTTTCCGCTTCTTGTATCGGTTTATCAAGTGACTTGAGGCCAGCGCGGTGATTAGTCTTGAACTGATACCGCGCTTGAAGATGGAAAGCCGCGAACTTCAGATCCTGCAAGCGATGGCGTCCGCAGAGGGATATTTGCTTAGACAAAATCTCTTCGATCCGACTGGAGACGTCGGCAGCCTCAATGTCCGTCTCTTCAATGAGCAGGCTAGCATATCTCAACCGTAATTTCGCCTCGTCCCTAGGCGGCATGTTGAAGTCCTTCAATACAGTATCCATACATCCCATGGCGGTGGACATCAGTTTGTAGTACTGTCTTACGTCTGCCTCCTTTCTTTCCCGTATGAACAGCGATCCCATGCCTCGCGCAACCGCGATGTATTCGTCCGCAGCCGTGAGTAATAGTTCCGAGAGCTCGGCGGGAAGCGCTTTCTGGGGAAGATGAGCACGCTTCGTGGGTGTGAGCTGGTGCGACGAAGAGGTTTTGGGAATGACAACCTGGGGGTGCATCCGCGGTTTCGAAGAGGCTGGTTGAGGAAATGGGCTGCCATACTGGCTTGATGGTGTTCGAGACGGCGGGAGAACGCGCTGTTGTTGGGGAGTCGACTGGGGCCGCGGTTGCTGGGGTGTCGACTGTGAAGGTCGCGGTTGTTGGGGCGTCGACGGTGGAGGTGGCTGCTGAGGCGTCGACAGCGATGGCATGCGCTGCGGCTGAGGCGTCAACTGCGACTGCGACTGCGGCGGTACACGCTGTTGCTGGGGCGTCGTCTGCGGCTGTAACGGCGCTCGATATGGAGCCTGACCATTCGACGACGTAACAACGGGCCGCTGCTGCGGTCTTGGGCCATTCTCTTGATGCGAGGGCGATCGCTGTACCGGCTTAGATACAGGCGGGTTGGGTGGCTGCTGTGCGCTATATCGCCGTTGCTGGTCCCCAGAGCCGTCTGTTTGCGCGATGCCTGCACTGCTTGTTCGCTGTACTGGTACTTGTACATGTCGTATCCGCGGGGGTTGCATTTGCGGCATCTGCATGGGAGAAGCGTATTGGGGGTTCCTCGCGGGGATAATGACTTGAGGCTGCCGTTGATATTGCGGTTGCGGCGGCGGCTGCTGGGGTTGCTGGGGTTGCATTTGAGGAGGCATTTGCGCATATTGCTGGCTCATCGGTCGAGGCATGCTGGGTTGTGGTGGTAGTTGGTATGGCGCTGGCTGTGACTGAGGATATCCCTGGGGCGTCTGCATCTGCATGGGAGGGTATTGGGGGTAGCCATGGTGTTGGTAGCCATTTGGCGGCGGCGGCTGCTGTTGTTGTTGCGGAGGCGGCGCATACGGAGGATACTGGTTGTTTGGAGGGCCACTCGGATAGCCCTGGGGCTGCCAGTTGTATCGCGGGTCCATGGTGCGGAAGACTCAGCCAGACTGTCACCGGGAATCGAGATATGGGCGTTGCATTGTGGGCGAAGCGGGGTGTAACTGCGACGACGTGTAAAGGGCAGTCGCGAACTTGGGTAATCGCGAACGCGCGCCAGGTCACTTCAGCGCCATTGGCCGATAGACGCGCGCTTACACACTACCACATGCAGGCTAGTGGGTAGACAGACCGAGGCCCCGTTCTTTTCCTACCACATGTCGTGCATGTGTTTATCGCTGAGAAATAGTTCTGCCTTTCCTTCGAAATCGGTTCGAACGGAAGCATCTTTAGGCAATTGGATCGCCTAGTATCAGATGCCAACCGGCAATTGATTTCACTGAGTGACAGAAACGGTGAAAGAGCTAGGAACAAGACGAAAGACATATCTTAGGTGCCAAGTTGTACTCTCCATACGGCCGCACCTCCAGACCTACCACGCAGATATCCACCTTGCAAACCTCACACCAAGTCCTCACCAGGCTGTATCCACCCCCTCACCCTGACAATGTCGTGGCTTCTAGGCCACAGCAAAACAACCTACACATCCCACTCCTCCCCAACTCCCCTCGAAACCAAGTCCGGCTCAAAAACCACCTTGCCAGAAATCGCAAAATCCTCAATCCCACGATGCCGTCTCAACCCTTTCCTCTTCAACGGCCACTTGCAGACCATGTACACAGCCGTCAAAGACCCAGGACCACCCATCTATTACAAGCGCCAAATCTTCGACTCTAACCACTCTGTCTATCCCGGAACTTTTGCCGTGGATTTTGTCGTCAGCAAGGAGGAGGGAGAGGCATCTGCTTCACGGATGAAAGACGACAAGGATGATACCGAGCTGCCCGAACGAACGACAAACTTTACCGCCAAAGAGTGGCAAGGAATCAGCAGTGACGACGACAAGCCAATGCTAATAGCGCTCCACGGCCTGACCGGCGGATCCCACGAAGTCTACCTCCGCGAAACCCTCTACCCGCTGCTAACCTCTTCGACGCAACCCTGGGCCGCCTGCGTCGTCAACGGGCGCGGCTGCGCGCTATCCAAAATCACCACGCCGCAGCTCTTCAACTCGCGCGCAACCTGGGATCTCCGCCAGGTCGTCACAACGCTGCACGATCTATTCCCCAACCGGCCTCTCTACGCCATCGGCTTCAGTCTAGGCGCCAACATCCTAACCAACTACTGCGGCGAGCAAGGCGCAAGTTGCACTCTCAAAGCAGCAGTCTCGTGTTCGAACCCTTGGAACCTAGAAGTCTGCAACACGACGCTGCAATCCACGTACCTGGGCCTACACATCTACTCGCGCACCATGGGCAAGAACCTCATGGGCCTCTTCAAACGACACCGCACCCAGATACTGCAGAACCCGGGAATCGACGAGACCGCTCTCCTCGCATCCAAGTACCTCCACGAATTCGATCGACATGTCCAGTGTCCTACTTGGGGTTACCCGACCGAAGGCGCGTATTATAGGGACTCGCAATCCGTAGATGCGGTACTGGCTATTCGCATCCCTTTCCTGGGCATCAACGCCGAAGACGATCCGATTAGTAATAAAGCGGGCTTGCCGTACCAGGAGGTGTGCCAGAATCCGAATACGCTGCTTGTTACGACGGATTGGGGCGGTCACCTGGGTTCCTTCCAGTTGGGTGGCGGGCGCTGGTTCGCGACTGCTGCTGCTTCTTTCTTGCAGAAGATGCATGGCGAGGTGGATTTTGAAGCTACGAAGGGTGTTGATGGGGGAAAGGATGTGAATATGGGAGGGCTGGAGGGAAAGAAGTATCCTATTTTCGATCCTAATCACAGGAGGCTGATATTGCCTGATGCTTAGACGTAACATGACAGATTGGGCAGCCTTGGAGAGTTTTGCATTGGATTGTTAAAACTTGTTTTGGGGGTATCATAGACTTTTAGATATGCGTAGGTCCTGTACAGCACTTTAGACCTCAATCTTTTTTTTTCCGCGCCAAGAGCACAGTTTGCTGTTGTTCTTCGACGTGTGCTCTTGCGCTGTTCATCCCTCAAGGTCGACCCCATCGTGTTCGTACACGTCATGCTCCCTACCCCTGCCCGTGACAGCTTCGTCCACGCGCGCGCAAGCTACCTCCCCTCAGCCAAAGCTAACCCTCTTCCTAACCTTGAACTTCCTGTCCTTCTCCTTGATCTTATCTCCTTCTCTCTCGTCACCCTTACCACCGCCAGCGCCAGGCTCACTATGCCTCTTCCTCTTCTTCTTGAGGTCCTGTTTCCTCTCCTCAAACGCCAGGTCCTTGTCTGATTTCCTGCTCTCAGCTTCTTTCCGCTTGGCCTCGCGTATTTCTTCTAGCTGGCGGGCTTTTGCAATCTTGGACTCGAGGTGCCCTTCTTTTTCGGCGTTGACGACGGACATGATGGCCATCTGCGCGCACATGTCGTATCAGTACCCATAAGCTTGGAAAGTGAATTTTTCCTTTTGTATACATACCATGCTAGCCGGATCATCCACAAACTTCTTCCCCTTCTTGACACCCTTTGGTTTCGCAATGCCCGCGGGTATTATTCCATTCAAGGCCGGGATATCCAACTCCTTCTCTGAATAGACCCTCTTTTTCTTCTTCCCGTCTTTAGACACCAGACTCTTGGTCTTTTGCGCGCCACCAGGCTTAGCCAGCGACATGGATTTCTGCTTGCGCTTCGAGATTCCTTCGGGCGCGCTGCCGGTAGGCTTTGAAGATTTCGATTTCGGTTTGTTGGCGCCGGACTTGGCTGGGCCGGATTTCCCTTTTGAGCCTTTGCCCTTGGTGGAGGGTTTCGAGGCAGCCATTTTGCAGAAAGAGAATGTGAAAGGTGGGTGGGTGAGATTGGCGAAAAGTTGCAAAGGTTGGTGTGTCGCAAGCAAAGTAGGATCGTTTTGAGAAATTATGTCGGCGTTTTGGGGAGCTGCTAACACCGACCGAACGGACGCGGAACGTCAAGCGCCAAAGGGTTGGCGCGACCTTGTGGACCTCGAGGCGCAACCTTGTGGAACCTCTAGGCGCAACCCCAACACCAGCTTCGCATAGCTCACACTCATCAACACCCAACACATCCGTCGCATACGTGCCCCCGAGTTCGACATGGAGGACTCGAATCGCCTCTTCCGCTTCCCAAAGCCCGCGTGGATGAACAGCGCAAACACGCGAACAGCCGGCGTCTACATGGCAGGAGCCCTGGTGCGCAGCCTCACCTCACCTCACCCCCAAACATGTCTGTGACTGAAAGAAGCTGACGTTGCAATGTTGCACAGTTCGCCATGGGTTTCTACACCCTCATCGACATATCCACGTGGTCCAAGTCTGCCATGAACGGCTCCGACCCCCCCGTCCACATCACCTTCATCGACTGGATCCCCGGTATCTGCAGCGCCCTCGGCATGCTCGTCATCAACAGCATCGACAAGTCGCGCTTGTCGGCCGACAGCTTCTCGTACTCTGGTAACGGGGTGGCGTGGAAGGCCAGGCTTGTCTTGTTCCTGGGCTTTGCCTTGTTGGCCGGCGGACTGGCGGGGAGTGTTGTGGTCATGGTTATGAAGTTTGTTGTTGTGGGACATACCTGGCCGACGCTTTGGTTGGGGGCCGGCAATGTAGTTGCTAATGGCTTGATTATGCTGAGGTGAGTACACGGTGATGCTGGGGTGTGCTTGGATGGTCATGGGATAACTGCTAACGTGTTGTAGCTCTGCTGTGCTTTGGGTTGCGCAGAACATGGAGGACGAGTATACTTACAACCTGGCGTTGTAGACTGCTGGTGGAGTAACAGGCTAGGGTAATTCGACGGGAGGGGATGGGATGGCCATAATCATGTACGAGTATTCGGGAGACGGACGATGTTCGCTATGGGCAGTTTGTTGTGTTATGTCCAGCTGTTCAGCGATTTTGAGTTGATGTTCCAATACGGACAGCCTAAAGCGTCCTATGCATTATGTTCGATCTACTTGTACAAAAACGCTCAGCAGACTATGGGTACAACGTAAACGTGAAATAGCACCAATCTGTTCCTTCCAGTTTCCAGCTTTTGCTGTCGAATCCCTCCATCTCACGCACGTTACTGAGTTGTAAGCGGCCCCTCATTCCTGAGTTCCGCCGGCTAGTCAGAAGTCTTCTTGCTCCTGGAAGAAGAGCGTAAAGCTGATGATGGTTGCGTATATCAACAGACCGCCAAAGATGGACATGGCCGCCGCGCCGCCTGCGATTTCTGCCGAATGCCACAGCAATGTTGGAAGGGCTGTGGACATGTTAGATGGCGTTTCCACCTTGTGCCGATTGAGTGTACTCACCAATACCCATGACGACAAAGAAGCCCGTCAGGAACCTTCCAAAGTCGACGACGCCGTTGCCGGTGCTCTCCATAAAGTCATCGCGGTTCGCTGCTCGTCCACAGAGCCAGTTGGGCAGGGGCGCGATCACGTAGGTTGCGACAACGAGAAGCGTGAGGTAGTTCTTGAAGAGCGCGGCGGAGAGAATGACAAGGAGAAAGCCGATGGCCAGGACCTAGTAGCATGGCCGTTAGCGCAATCCCAGTGTGAAGATGAGGCGCGTGTATGCGACAGGCTGACGTACAAAGGACAGGCCTATGATGGTCTTGATGCCGGCCATGGTGGAGTCGGAAGGCAGAAAGGTCGTGTTTGTATAGTGCACGGGGGTTGCGCCGACGTGTCCCTGGTTGGATCCTCGGTCCGGCGAAGATGCGAGGTTGCTGTGATGGTGCGTCTTGCTCCTAGACGCCTGATGGTGAGGTTGCGTCGCACGCGCTAAGGCCCTTGCCAAGATTGGAGCTTCTGGAGCTCATCGTCGTCAACAGGTCGGTGCCTCCAGCTGCAACACCGCATCGACACTACTCACCCCACGCCGCTGCGACCACACAGCCTCTTTCTCGCAAGTAATATCCAGCGGGATTGAATAAAGCCTCAAAGGGTATCCCACCATTGTAGACTACACACCCACAGACCCCACAATCCCGCCTTCATCATGTTCAGGAACAACTACGACAACGACTCGGTCACCTTCTCGCCACAAGGCCGCATCTTCCAGGTCGAATACGCACAAGAGGCGGTCAAGCAGGGTTCAGTCGTCGTGGGCATTGTCAGCAAGACACACGCAGTTCTCGCAGCAATCAAGGTAACTAGACCGACAGCCGTGCCATGCAAACACCATCTAACGATGCCACAGCGAAATGCCGAGGAACTCTCTTCATACCAGAAGAAGATCATCCCGATAGATTCCCACTTTGGTGTCGCCCTCGCCGGACTCGCCTCCGACGCCCGCGTCCTCTCCAACTTCATGAAGCAACAATCCCTCGCATCCCGCCTCACCTACGACCGCGCCATCCCCCTCTCCGAGATCACCTCCCGCATCGCAGACCGTGCCCAGACCAACACACAGCAGTACGGCCGGAGACCCTACGGCGTGGGCCTGCTCATTGCCGGCGTTGACGCAAAGGGCCCGCATCTGTTCGAGTTCCAGCCCAGCGGTGTCACACAGGAGATGGTCGCATGTGGTATCGGCGCTAGGAGTCAAATGGCGAGGACATACCTCGAGAGGCATCTGGACGACTTTGAGAACGCTAGCCGGGAGGAGCTGATCAAGCATGCATTGAGAGCACTGAAGGAGTCGCTATCGCAGGACAAGGAGTTGACTGTTGACAACACCAGCGTCGGCATCAGTGGCGTCGGCGAGGACTTTGTACACCATGAAGGCCAGGATATCGCCGAGTGGTTGGATGCTACGTTTGAGAATAGGGAGGGCGGGGATGAGGCCGAGGGTGGAGAAGCTATGGAGGAGTAGTGCAGTGTGGCAGTAGGCTCGACTTTACTTTAGCTACACAGATGACCACTGTAGATCACGATGTAGCCGTCTGGCTATGAAAATAATGAACATGACTTCAGATGACGTCCAAGAGCAGCTTTCTGCACAACTGTTTTGACATGCTAGAGAGATGGCGCCCAGCGTCCAGTTTACCTCCAAACCCGTTCTGCACGTGACCTCGAGCTCCGCCCGGCATGCGCGAAATCTCGCCGTAGCTCAGCACTTGCACCTCACCACCGCACCTCACCCGCCCACACTCACCCACGAAACCCCAACGAACCTACCATCACAATGGCATTCGCGTGGAAAGCCGCCGGTCTCACGTACGCATCCGCCCCTACGCAATCGCCCACAGACCCTGCTGGAGCAATTGGATAGCGAGGACCAAACGACTGACAACCCAAATAGCTACAACCGCTACATTGCCGTCGCATCGCGCGTCGTGCGCCGCTCGCTCAAGGAGGACAAGCGCATTGCTGCTGAGCGCAGGGGCGAGAGCGAACTCCGATTCGCCAAGTGGGAGGTGAGTCTACACTGCATATGACACGGCACAAGCGGCGGGGGAGCATGGAGACGGGGTCGGATGAGAAAATTGGGGGAGGGCAATTGGGGAGTTGGGAGACTGTTTCCTAGGGCCAGGGGCGTACAAATCACGGACGTTGGGCTAATGACATGGACAGAACGGCAAGCAGGGCGAGATGAAGGACCTCAACGCTGCGGCTCTCCAGGCCCAGGCTGATGCTGCCAAGACCTCGTAAACGATGCGACGGACAGAGGACATGTAGTTGCAGCTGGCTATGGAGATGATGGCATCGGGGCAGGCCATGGAATGGACAAGTTGACGAGAGCTGGTGGATGCATGCCATGTGCCATCAAGGCTCGAAAGGGGAATTAAAGCCAATGTACAACACCAATTGAGCTGACATTCACTTTCTTTCTCTCTCTCAAAAATCTCATGCGCTTTGTAATATACGTGTGATATCGCTTGTCGTGACTTGGAGTATCGTCCGTTGCGTGAGCCTGACATGGTACGCGCATGTACTACTGGCCTGTCACAAATCTTTGCCCGCATCGGCAGCCCGCGAACTCCACCACAACCATGGCAGATGCACCTAGCAGCCACAACAGCACAGCCCCCGCTCCAGATGCGGGTTACGAAGTAGATGGTGCTGGTAATCCTCCCTTTTATCCCCTTATCCTTGATAAATGATAAAGAATATCATGGATGTTGATGATTCAGTCAGGTCCCTCACATACTGCGCAAGAGTCTGCGCCTACTATCCAGCCGGCTACTTCTGCTAACTTACCCTTGAGACAATCAAGACAGCATGTGGGAGGGGCGCAGCCAAAGATTCACGACGTGACGGAAAAGTTCACGAGGGCTTGTAATGGTATGCGTATGACCAAAGAGTTGATGGTGATGGGTGTGGAGGAGGGGCATATGGCGGGGCTACCCTACGAGCATCGTCATGTCGTTTCCTACCCACCATCATCATCTCGAAGATGAAAAAGTTGAACGTGGCTAACTCAGAATAAACTCTCACAGCTCTCGAGGTCGGTCAACTCGTCAAAGATGAATATTTTACGCTTTTTGAATCCATTGGGGCCATCGAAGTACGTCTTGCAACGCGTCCTTGCACCCACCATTCCTCTTCTTTCCTGGAATATTATGCTCACATGTGCCCAATAGATCATGGACCCCAAGATGGATTCGGGCTTCCTCGTCCCGGGCGAAACTCTAGAAGATGACTATGATACACTTACCCCCCTCCTCCCCGAGGAATTAATAGGCATCATGGACCAACTACTCTGCTACGAAATGGCCTGGCACACGGGCTACCCTCTCTCCCAAACCCTCTTCACATCCGTCTACATTGACAAGCTACTCTGGCCCGAGACCAAGATCCTCTCTCAAGCGCAGTTTTTCCGTGGAGACGTGGCGGATGAGAGACGGCCTGGCCCGTTGTTAGAGATACTTCGAGCGTATTGTCTAGCGGTGATCAAAGGATGTGATTTCGTGATTTCCAAGATAACGGCGAGGGACTACTTTGAGGAGGAGGACTTTTGCACGCATACATACAACCGGGTACTGTTTGTGAACATGCCGATGGATGTCTTCCTCCGCGAACTCGATGCGGCTATCGACACAGTCGCAGACGCCGCCCTTGTCGACATCAACGACGCCCTCCGCCAAGCCATCATCTCGCGCCTCGAATTGCGCAAGTATCTTCTGCGCGCCCTCGACCTGGATCTGCCCCTAGACCAGACATGTTACTCCTGGCCCCCGGTGCTCGAAGGCATTGAGCGGCTGAAGAGCACGCATCAGTTGGGGAAAATGGTGCCTGGAGCGTTTAGTCCAAAGATGCAACGTCGACTCGCTTCCACGGTACCTCCACGACCGATTGTAGACTTGTCCTTTCCAGACGCTGCGGACAAGCTGAAGCAACTTGCCACCGATTGCCACGAAAGCACGCGCTTTCCCTTGTTACCCCAGGACCCGCTGGAATACCAAGCATTCCTCTGGCACTACTCTTCCCGCTCGCCGCCGCCTCTGGCATACTCTAGGTCGTATCTAGCCACGTTGCTGTTCCATCCAGAGGTGCTGGAAACGTCCGTCTCCCTGCCACTGGCGGATGTGAAGAGTCTTGTGCTGACGGCGAGTCCGGTGCTGGATCCGATGAACTGGACCTTGTCTCCGCCGCGGAACGCGCTACTGCCCAAGCCACCCAAACTGATGTTTGCCATGCTAATCGACGAATTTGTGGAGAGGGCGGGACAAGCGTATCTTGATCTGTGGGTTGCCATGAGCCAGAATAGATGTCGGGTAAGACGCATGTTGACACATGTCATCACGGGATGGGATCTACTGCAAGCAGATGCTAGTTCCATCGACGTGGACATTTCCACCGCGGCCGCACAAGTTGGTGCCGACGTGGGGAGCCAGGTCATGGAGTTTGGGCTGAGCACGTGGGTGTACCACAAGAAGCTTTGGATGGTGGAAAAGGTCATCCTGCTCGGTTTTGAACAGGATATATACCTCCCTGACGAGTACGCCGGCATGTATCTCTTCCTTGGCCTCATTGCGACAAGAAGGAAGGAGTTGTTGAGGAGAGTCGAAGCACACTACATCGTCCTATCGTCATCTTTTCTCAAGGAAAGACGCTTCAGGGAAGTACAAGACGTCGAAGATGCGCAACCTTTCCTCGCTTCTCTCCTCGCTGGCGCCGAGGGAACGGCAGAGCTGGCACTTGCCATGGCACGTTTCTACATCATCGCGTTCTATCTGGGCAAGTTGCCCATGCCGCGCCGCACCCCTTTTTCCACAGACAAACTCCGTTACGAAGTCCGCATGAAACCTTTTCTCGCTCTCTCACCGCCCGAAGCACCGCCTTTTGAAGACTTCCAAGCACACAGCCAGCCGTATGGCCCGCCGCCGTCACTGGCGGAACCATCACCTGAGGCCTTTGTCAGAGATGTGAGGGACGAGGGGTCGAGTCTCTGGCTTGAGGTAGACACACATCTTAAAGCGGCCAAGGCGGCGTTTACAGAGTATAAGAAGCTGGGGGCTGAGGCTGCAAAGGCGAAAGGTGTGGAGGCTAGTTGGAGTGAAGAGATCAAGAGTCTGTTGGCGAGCTGTGTTAGTCTTGGACTGGCGGTCAAGGAGATTAAAGATGCTGTTATGGTTGGAGATGAGGGGGCGGAGGTGGGGAAGCGCATTGGGATTGAGATTCCGGAGGCCGGGGCTGGGAAGAGGTATGCTGAGGGGTGGATTGTTGGGAGGGTTAGTAGGGTGTAAGGTGGTCGTTGGGAGGTGGTGGGTATTGATGATCTGCAGTAGGCAGCACGATGTGAACAGTTCGGATAGGTTGTCGTGAGTATCTTCTTATGTCGATCTATAACGGCACCAGCTATAACTATCCTAGCCAGACTCGCCACAAGGAAGCTATGGCTACTATCTTATCTGAGACCTCGTCCATTCTGGATCAATGCATATATTCACAGTAGTGATCGGCGTTCTTCTGATCTGGACTAGCTAAATATTATCCAAAGATAGAGCAATCCTTCCTCGCATACGTTGCAACTCGCGGCGCCAGCTCCAATTCGCCACGTCAATGACAGCTTCCGCGGCCATGGTGATGGGAAACATTACAGCTGGCCAGATCCGACGTTTGATGAATTCGGTCGTTTTGAGACCCCATCTTCGTCCTCGACGTCTGTGTAAAGCATAGTCTGTGCGCTCCTGCGGGGAGGAGCCTTCTTCAGGATCTGTTGGGTGGGGCTCGTCGACTGTGTCATTCAGCTGGATTCGTCTGTCCCGGAGAGGTCCCAGAATGCGCCAACTGGACCATTGGGATCTATCTGGTGAGCCTGCGGTCTCTATTACGATGACTTTACATACAGATGAGAAGGCGTCCGTTCCTGAAGTACGATCTGATTTTCAGAAGGTCGACTCCAAATCTGTCTCGTCTCTTGTTCTCGATGAAGCGCTCTATTCTCTCAATCCAGCTCCATTCTTTGATCGAGCTAACGCAGCCCCATCTCAATTCCCGTATGACCGTTCGCCACCCACGACCCCCATGGAAGTACCTCGCAAGGAACGAACCTCTCCAGGTTATAAACCTCAAAAAGAACGCCTGGTTGAGCAGAACGGTACCCGCAAAGCTAACAAGGACAACAAAGACCATGGTATCTGAGATGAGCAGCCCGCCCAGTGAGACCCAGGCACCTTCTGCACAGCCCACTGTTATGTAGATGAGTAAAAGAACCCAGGTGATTGTCGGCACGACCAGGACCAGATATGTTCCCCAATCGATAACCAATGGAGGCACCGAACCGCTCATCCACCGTAGGAGGAATATGAAAGTAGCTATAACTCCACCACCCATCTTTTCGAGTATGAGTGTGAAATACCATAGCGGGTCCTTGTTCGCACAGTTGTCGATTGGTCAATTTAGCTCCAAACCCAAATGCTCCTATGGTCCAATACATGAGCCATGCTCCAAGGCCTTCCATGATGATGGCTGGTGCAATTCCATAAACAACTATGCTGAAGAGCTGGAATGCCCAGGTATATTCCCAACCCCGCTTGCCTACACGTGCCCGGAGGAGGTTAGCTATCTCGGCGTTTCGATGCTTGAGTGCTACATCACCTTGCACAAAGTCTGAGTCGGGAACATCTTCTGTCCATGGTACCATGTCCAAGGCCGATGTCTGGGATTGAAACGGCTTTAGAGGGCTCAAATAGCCGTTTTGGATCAAAGCCGAGATTTCAAGAGTCCAGTAACACGACTAAGATCTCGCGAACGTGCAGCTTAGACGATAAGCCTCGAGTAAGGATCTTGCTTGCACAGGGGTATCTTTTGTTGACTATCAACTTGTAACACGTTGGAACAGCTAGGCTATAGATAGTTATCTCTGGATTTCGATCTGTCTATTCTAGCATACGTATTTGACTTTCCGCATCTGACGTCCTCTTAGAGTACTCTGCCTCTTCTTGCTTAAGTGCTGAAATACGTGCAGACTTAAAGCTATGCGTATAGCCGTCTAGCCGGTGCGACTGAGCCGAACCACCCATATTATTTGGTCGTCCGGCTTGTGACGAACAACTGCTGAACAGTGACTTGCGAAACAGGGGTTTAAAAGTGGCGATAGAGCTGCCTACTATGCCAATGCCTAATTCCACAAACGTCCACATGCCCAGAGTGGCAGCGTTATTTAGGTAGTCCTTGGTGCTAGTGTTGGAAGCGAAGTATACAAGACGGATGATCGTTGCAAAACTAGCACTATACATACGTCAGTTTAGCTAAACATACAGCTTGCAAATCGTGTACTTACAGAAAACCCAAGGCAAATAGGGAAAGGACGCCGATTTTTGACATGAGTCGGAGCTGCACATCCCATAAGACGAATACAGGCAGAATTGCGCAGGCCAAGTCCGACACGATGGACGTGGCTGATAAAAAAAAGGTGATAGCCCTAAGCACATCGGGGCTGCTACAAGTCCCGGCGGTAAGATCCCAATTAGCTGCGACTGTAGTACACCGTGAAAGCAATGCCACAGTTACGGTGATGGTCGCTGCAGTACTCAGGGCCATTACCGTGTACAGTATCGTCTTGTAGGCCCTGCTTTTCGCGAAGCGGAGCAGGCTAGCACAGATACTGCACTTGATAGCCAGTCCTGCCGGCGCGTAAAAGAGTCCAAAAATCCAATACCACTGTATCTAGTCAGCTCGAACAGTAAAGAGCCATGTTATTTTGAGATGTACCTTGGCACCCACAATCAGGGAATTGTAATCTATTTTCTTGTCCGGCCTGCCGATGCCATGGGAGATGGATACGATGGAGCAAGATACAGAGAGTGAGAATAGAATCTAGGTACTGTCAGACGTGCATCATCGGACAGAAAGTGAACATTTTTCATTACCAAGCCCACGACTATTAGCAAATCATCTACACCCAGGCTTCTGATAAATCTACGAACCAATAATCGAAGGATAGCGGTAGCCCAGGAAAGCGCAAGCATGACCGAGGTCAGAGTGACCACGGTGGTTGCAGGGATGATGTCAAGCGCCATACCGTCTTCGGCGACACTGACGAAGGATGGTAAGGATTGTACGTACGGTACAGACAAAGCGCGTTCTTACTGACCATATATAGACCATCAATCGCGCCCTATTAGAAGACCTACTGACGTAGCCTCGTTTTAAACTTCCACTTGATTGTGTGGTAGGCATAGCCACCAGGGTAGCAGCTACGGAAGAAGTCCCGTAGGCTAGTGATACGATCCTAGGATAGTTAGCGCGTAGATCTAGCGGCGATCACAGCTCCCCGTTTCCCCGTACAGATCCGGGATACGCTCTACTCGAGTGGAGGGAAGTCTGATTTGAGGCGCTCCGCATTGCGTGGAGAGTTATTGGGCGCAAGGATAGTATGCTCAGTGTTTTAGCTTCGCAATGGAGTGCGCTGTCAGTTTCGCTATCTCTAGCTATTATGTCTAAAGGAGCGCGCTACCTCGTCGGAGCATGCTATGGTATAAATCCATTAAGTAGGGAAGAAAATGCTTCTGGGGTTGTCTTCCAGTCTCAGTAAGATAGCTTTGTTAGCGAAAACAACCAGCACTAAGACATGTCAGCCAGCCAAGGCAAGTGAACAACTCCCAATTGAGGTGACTTTGCGGGCTCGTGTGCTGCGTTCTATCAGAGGTGCCGAGAGAGGTCGTCAGGCTCTGCTGTGTCCAGGTGTGTTGGAGCGCGACCATCAAACCTTCGAAATTTTGGCGGCGAACAACCGCTTCCGAGTCAGCACTCAATGCAACGACGACAACCTCAGACCGCTTTAGAGATAGCAGCTCGTATGTCACATTCATACACAGAGTAAGTCTTACATTTGAAACTCGCAATGCGCCCTTGCGGCACTCATCGATCAGAGAGCCACAGAATCTGATCCACCGCCCCCAAAGCTCGGCATGCCAGCCCCTCAAAGTTCAGGCTCACTCACCAACCCCCCTCCATGTCTTCCAACGACCCTAGGGCCGTTATAGCTCACTGAAAATGTTTTCGCGTTCCTGATCAGATGGCGAGAGATTTTTTTCGATGTATCGTGCACGGCCGTTGTCATGTAAATGGGGACAGTGCAAAGAAGAAGCGCTGACACGCTCAGTCCCGATTAGGTTGTTAATCAGAGAAACTGCTAGACCCAAGACGGATTAGCTGCATATTACTACCCCCGCCGCATACTGAATCGAGGAAACACCCCACTCAGCAACGCCAAACGCCGAACCATCGTCCCATCAAATCATCACCATTATAGAATAGGCTTACATGTTCTTCACGATAGCCCGAGCTTGGATCTTTTTTGATGCACACTGTAGCGCAGTGACTATCGCCTTTCTCACATTAATGCCCCGAAATGGCAAGGTTCACTCCGCCTGGTAGTGGTTCCTAGCCGTACAGAGCATCAAGACGATTCGACACACTGGGCACTGCAAAGAAATGCTACTTAAGCCCGATAGACCCCATGGGCTCTACGCCGCTTGCTAGCACGTCGTTTCATTGATTTACTTCTCGTTGAAATATGGATTCTCGCGATGGTTACACATGGACGCCCACCGACGGCCTCAAAGCGGGCGTGCCGTCCCTCGGCGTCATAACACCTTCTACAAACCTTTCGGAATCAGAATCGGAAGAATTCTACGATGTCATCGTTGTGGGCGCTGGCTACTGCGGGCTCACAGCCGCGCGCAACGCCGCGGTGGAAGGGTTGAAAGTGTTGCTACTGGAAGGCCGGGATCGCATTGGCGGCCGATCCTGGTCATCAAACATCCAAGGTTATCCCTTTGAGATGGGGGGGGACATGGGTGCACTGGGGCCAATCCAACACTTGGAGAGAGATGGTAAGATATCAGATGATGAATGAGGTGGAGAAGTCGTTTGATTTCTCGCATGGTGTCAATCACTATGAATTGAATATTGGGCTTCAAGGCTCTACCATGAGCCACGACGAGGAGGTCTGTTGCAAAATATCGTTATAGAAAGAGTAACCTACTGATGAGATGAAGGATGCACTGCTTATCGCAGCGTTGAAAAAATTCACAAACATAGATGGAGCGTGTGGGAGAAACATGATTCCTTTACCCTACGACATGTTCCACGTTGCCGATGCGACGCACCTTGATGATCTCTCCGCTCAAGATCGCATCGATGAGATTGCACCATCACTATCGCCACAGGAGCGCGCCGCCGTCGAATCCTTCGTCCTGCTATGCAGTGGGGCCACTCTTGCGACAACGAGCTTCCTCGAATTCATGCATTGGTGGGCTCTGTGTGGCTACACCTACGCAGGCTGCATAGACATGCTTATCACCTGGAAGTTCAAGGGTGGACAATCGAGCTTCGCAATCAAATTCTTCCAGGAAGCACTTGCAACGAAGCGTCTCGCATACGCTTTCAACAGCCCCGTGAACAAGATTCAGGATACGGGTCGAACAGTAAAAGTCACAACGCGGGATGGCCGCCGGTACGAAGCAGCGCGACTCATCTCAGCCATGCCTCTGAACGTCTTGGGCGAAGTGACTTTCGAGCCGCCGCTTTGTACTGGGAAACGAGAGGCTATTGCGACGGGTCATGTTAATCAATGCGTCAAGGTTCACGCAGAGGTGTCGAACAAGGATCTTCGATCTTGGACAGGCGTTACATATCCGCACAACGAGCTCATGTATGCCATTGGCGACGGAACAACACCTGCAGGAAATACACACATCGTCTGCTTTGGCGGTAGTAACAAACATATCGACCCTGAGGACGACATTGACGCAACGAAGCGTGCAGTTACGAACATGTTCGTGCAGCAAAAAGACCAGCCTAACATTGAGAGATTAGTATTCCACAACTGGTCGAAAGATGAGTTTGCAAAGGGTGCGTGGTTTTTCTCATCTCCTGGCTTCCTCGCGAAACATCTGGATCATATGCGGGAGAGGCATGGGAATGTACTGTTTGCGAACTCGGATTGGGCACTTGGTTGGAGGAGTTTCATTGACGGTGCGATTGAGGAAGGGACGAGGGTTGCTTTTGAAGTGCGAAAAGAATTGACGGAGTCACTGGACCATGGTGGGAAAAGCAGTCTGTAAGAAGAGATGATGTATAGTTTCTGTAGCATAAGAAAACATCCTTATCAGTCAGCAACAAACCTTCTTCTGCGCTCAGAAAGTATTTACTTTCCTTTGCATGTACACTAGGTGGCCGAGTAGACCGTGTGTACATTGAGGGTATAGCTTAATTGATCATCCCAGAAGTCAACCATTGCGGTATCTTACTGGATTCCTTCGAATATGTCGTACTCGTACTGCTTTAGTATACTCACATTAAGCCATGCGCCACACACTACTAGAAGAGGAGATCTGGAGACTAGCCAGATATGGAAAAGGCCGCTAGCGCTGTCGCAAAATCAGAAAGCGCCTACCTCGGCTTCCGCTTTCGCGCAGCCATACCAAGTATCTTTTTCCACTCCTACTAAGCCGCACACGTCGCAGATATGCCAGCACTGCAGACGCAGTACAATCCCTATGGATGTTAGTGTAGTGGACTCAGAGCAGGTGAACTGCTGCGACAGCCGTGAACCTACGTCGTAGCCAATCTACCAAGTCATCAACCCTATTGATCTGGGAGTAAACAAATGTCTGAAGCAGTAACTAGGAAGAAAGAGCGGGGCTGTTTCCAGTGCTCACGCCGTAGGGTCGTTTGCGATAGAACCGAGCCATCGTGCCTCAAATGTGCGAAGAAGGGTATCGGGTGCTCTGGACTGAGCAGGATACGATTTGCTGAAGGAGTGGCTAGAAGGGGTCGGCTCAAGGGATGCAGGATCCCGAAGACTAAAGGAGATGGTGGATGCCAGGAGTTGCCAACTATCACCAGGTTTCAAGCAGCACTAGTCTGGCTGGGTGAGGACAGAGCTACAAAGAGGAAATGCGATGTGAATGGGGGCACTGACACGAAAGACCCGACGAAACCGACATCCGATGCACGACAAGAACCAGCAAACGACGGAAATCTAAGAGTTTCTTCTCTGGAGCTTAACAGAACTGATAAAGAAGGTAACACCCGAGTGGAAGACATCTGCCGAAGTGATGATTCGCTTGTGACTGCGTACTCCCGTCACTGCAATGTCGTTCCTTGGATCGCACCAGTAACGCCAACATTACGGATGCTCTTTTCATATTGTATGTTAATGGTCATCCTGGATCAAGTCTCAGATATCGCCCACTGACCCCAACACAGTCTCCGATGTCGTCGCTCCGGTCATGGTCGTTCTTGATGACGACACGAATGGCTATAGATCTCTAGTGCTTCCAATGGCAATCGAGGATGAAGTTTTACGTCGGGCAGTGAGTGTTGTCGCTGCGCAACATCTCAGTCGTCAGCGACCCGAACTCCAGAAAGCCGCTGAAGCTGGACGTGCCGCCGTCATTTCACGATTGCGTAGCGACTCTTTGCAGCAGTCTGCGGAGAAGGTGTTCAACAAGTTCACGTGGGCGACTCTGATTGTGCTGCTGGTAGGCGAGACAGTGACGGGGAGTGCGGATTATGGCTTCCTCATCCAGATGCTGCTCAGCTTGTCCTTGAGCAATCCTGGCCGAGACGCCAATTCTGTTTTACTGAAATTTTTGCAAGCGCAGACTCAACTGTATGTAATCTAGAGGACTACCATACTGCTTCTAACACGTGATAGGTTTGAGCTGCTTGGGGTACCACTGCTTGGCGAAGAAGTCGGCCTACTGACGACGATGAAAGCCACGGAGTCTCTGATGAGCTGGCTGGCATATCCACATCTCGCAGAGAACAGTGACGATCGACGCCTTGCGGATCTGATACGGCAATGTTTCATTTCCGCATGCGACATATATATGCGATCCGCGGCCAACGCCGAAACAAATCCAACTTTCCATGAATCCATTCAATCACATTCCATTCAGCAGCTCATTGGTATGGTATCGCAAATTTCGCCTGACACTCGTGGTGCTCACGCACTGGTCTGGGTATACTTTGTCGCCGGAGCAGCTTCGACCGACCAAGGTCAACGGGATTTCTTCGTGCACCGCATGGAACTGGTTCACTCCCGTACGCAGTTTCAAAATGTTTCTACTGCGATACAAAGCCTCAAGAACATATGGGCGCGCGGGCATGGAGGACGCTGGACCGCCTGTCTTCCTCAATTATCTAACGTGCTAGTCATGTAGGGCATATGCATAAGCATTTCACTTCTGGCACAACAGATCTATCGCCTTCAAAGATTTCCAGTGCACCTCAGTCCCAATCATGTTTAATCTACTCTGGTGCTGTCTTGGTTCATACACATACGCTGTGGTAGCGAGGTCACAGAGCTTTGGATCTAGCACTACACAAGAGCCAAAGTTTCCATTGTTATCAGTGGCTTGTGTATCTTCTAATCAAGCTGCAAGGCAATTCCAAGCTTCTCTGCGACAAGCTCCTCACTCAACTTCCATAGTCTGTGTGCCTTTTCTTTGCTATCTGGATACGGCGGCACATCTATGACTTGACAGTTACTCAAGAATACACCTTTCTCTGGCGTTAACTTTTGATCTAGCGCAGCTACTAACGCGGTCGCAGCACCTTGGTCGATTGTCTTCTCGAATAGATTTGGTAATTTTGCCTTTTGCTCTTTGGCTATTATGCCCAACACCTCGTCCGTTGCTTGAGTCTTCACCCCTCTAGGGTGCAGCGCGAAAGCAAAGATACCTTTGTGTGAAAAGAGTGTGTTCTAGTGAACAGCGAATAGTACGTTAGCTGCTTTGCCTTGTTCGTATGCAATCTGTGCGGAGTAACCTTCGTGCTCCTCAAAGCTGAATATCTCCTGGATGTGAATGAGACTAGGTACGCCGCGGAGTGGTTAAGTCTATCTAATTTGCCCTTACTGAGACTATTGTTGAGGAATGGATATTATTCTATGACCCTATCTCGAGAATGATAGCTGTGAGGATTTAACCTCGGTCTTCTAGGTATGAAAGTTGATGGATCATTGTTCCTGTCGATGTTGCGAAAGCGGGAATCGAGACGTCCGCCAACTACTCGCTACCAAGTGGCCGATAACATGTACCGATATGCGCCTTTTCTCCTAGTCTTCAGGGACTTGAAAGCACGCAATTAAGAAGCGTAGAGTCCTAAGATAGTGTTTTGGCATCCCAGATGACAATCCTGATATGAGTATGACATTCAACCTTGGCACGTAATTGGAGAGTGAGCGACGATAGACTGCATGCAGCCTGGAGATAGTATACGCAACGATTTTGAACCGGCTTACTTGCCGCCATTTACACGATTGAGGCTTGCATTACCTAGCCCTTAGTCTATGTGATACTCAACAAACTGGTTTTCCAGACTAATTTCGCTGCCATCGTTCCTGCTCTGCGACTTTCTCCTCGCAACTTGACCTTGAAGTGCAGTGGGACTAATGATTGAGACCGAGTTAGCCAGCTCGCCATGCTTGCGCATTACTATGGGGCTCGGTAGTCCGCATAATCGAATCAACCGATCATTGACTTGTGTTTCTGCCGAGCAAACGAGTAGGCGAAATCTCCCTGGTTCGTCGGAGATGCTGACATAGCAAATCCTTCGCTTCAATTCCGCCAACAAGTTACACAGATATATCTGAGTTGATATGAATCTGAGGAACCATCTGGGCACTTTTACTCCGTCCATCCAGCGAGTAAGATATATGTTCAATTTGTCCCTCCTTGGCTTAGCAAGTAGTTTTTCCCACTGTGTTCGATCTCTCCAGCCTGGACTTGTGGCCCGAGCGCTAAGGGGCGTAACCTCGAGGGCTAGTTTGGGGTTTCGGGGCGGGAAGAAGAAACCCGACACCTTACATCCGATGTTCTCCGCCCAGCTTACCCACTGAAGCATCGATCGCATATTCTCCAAATGAGAGTTCCTTTCAAGGGCCTCGAAAGTTCTGCTTGTTGCTTGAAAGGATACGCAGCCGCAAATGACCCCAGTATCTTCGGCAAGTACCGACAAGATACGCTGAGCAGGGTCTATGGATACTCGCTAATGAGCACGTTCCTTCTTTACCATCTCTTTAGTCTCAGACGAAATATGGGGATGGCCCCTGAGAAGATCAGTACCAGGAAATCCTGGCAAGTCTCGCCACGCGTTGCTCTTGAAGGTAGACCAATCCGGAACCCATGACGGAGTGTTTTGCATTCTTCGCGTGGCGGCTATAAACAGGATTCGCAGGTTTCCAGTCACTTGTAGCAGACTCACGGTCAGCTGCCAGTAGACCAAGGGTATCTGCGTCCCATCAGCGGCATCGTACGCGGGTTTAGGAAGAACAGTTGCTCCAAGCTTGGGTAGAATGGCCCAGATACCGTATGCCATATCCCTTGGATTGGTAGCTGCTCTCTGATATAGAGCGCCCACCAGGGAGTCTGACCCAGTGTCATCGAGGTCGCGTCGAAAGGGATTGAAAAAGTCGCGCACCTCTATCCATGCGTATAACACGGTTCCAGGAATCGCACCAACAGTCAGGATCATGTACACCAGTTCAGTACCGTAATCAAAACGAAAATTGATTCCCAGTTCGGGAATCTCCGTAGAACAGGTACCGACAATACCGACCAGAAGGGCTGCTGTTAGACATGCCAGCACAAAACAAACCCAGGCAATCTTGAGAGTCCGACGTGCTGCGAGAACTTTCCTTACAATCTCTTCGTGCTCTTGTAGAGAATGTAGTACGTTAGGCTCCGCGGGTCGAACAGCAGAGCTTATCTTACCCCTATCGAAGGCGATGCTCTCCCATGTAATGATGACTTTCGGGAAGTTTGGCCCAGAGGTACTCCGCAACAACAGGAGCGCCCATTCTAGATCTGACCACTTAACATGTTCAGATCCACATACAACCACGGGGTGTGAAGCTAGTAGGATCTCTTGATAAGTCCAAACTCGACCTCTCCACGGCCGGTCGAGAACGTAGATGACATCATACCAGTTGACATATTGCACCCGGCGTGAAACACAAGCTAGCACAGGCTTCTTGTTTTCTTTGACAATCAGCTTGATACAGTCAAGAGATAGGGGGCTGCCTACGCTGAAACGGCAGTGGGTGATATCCGAAACTCAACCCAGCAAAAGAAGAACGCAAAGCTGCAACATAAGGTCGATATCGTGGCGGTTCGTCCGGCGCTGTTTCAACAAATGTACGGAGTCCGCCTTTCGACATGTATCTCATGACTCGGTCAGACCTATCATCCCCACGGCCCAACCATATGTACACCTGCCGGGCCTTGGTGTATATGTCTCCCATGAGAGGAATTTGCCACTCTTTCTCCTGACTGGTCTTTTCTTGGTTGATACATATTGCGTCCACCCAGATGACCAGTCCCTGGAGCTTCTTACTCAGGTGCCATAAAGCTGAGTAGCAATTCTCGGTGACCGGAAACAGAACACCATCACATACGATGCTGCGCTTATGTTCCGGGTCACCCCACACGTACGACAATGCCGTGAAGTCGGGTTGGCGATCGAGATGGATAACGCGCAAAGTACAATTGACAGGTGTGCCTTCGATAGCGTCATTGAGAATAGGTTGTACACAGAGTTGCTATCAGTCAATCAGTCAGTTGTCAGTTCATCTTTGCGGTTCAAACTGTCAGTCTGGAGGTAGTGAACTGACCTGATTGACTGCCAAGACATTTTTTAGAATCGCGAACTGAGACTG